CGCGAAATCCGACGTTTGGATAAGGTATTGTGTTGAGTTTCGCGCTATGTGCGAATCCGGGGTCAAAAAGAGGGGTTTCCATTACAAAAAACACTTCGACCTTGAAATGACCTTCAAAATGAGGTTAAAGGTCAAAGGTTTTTGGTGCATTGGGTGGCCCACTCTATTCTGAACAAATTTTGTAGAGGTCATTTTTCGATATCTTAAAAATTAAAAAAACGCTTTTAGGCAGTTTTTCAAGCATTTGACCTTAAATCGACCTTCTCTAGGCCATGAAAAAAAATTTAAAAATACCGTTTTGGACGTAAAATTTCCCGCTCTTTCCGAATCCAGGGTCAAAAATGGGGATTCCTATTTAAAAAAACAAAGTTGACCTTGAAATGACCTTGAACATGACCTCCAAGGTCAAATCCAAGGTCATAGAAATATGGCCCCCTCAAAGTTGAGTAACTTTTGTCTGAAACTATTTTCGATAAAACTCACTCCAATCTAGATATCTGAGTGGATCACTTAAAATGGGCCACCCTGTATAAGCAGACTTTTTATACCTAAAAACTCATTCATTGAGGTGTCGATGATGAGTAAACAACATGGATTTCAAAGAACAACCTCTTAAGCTTCAAGTCATTAATTTCGATAGAGTGGTGGAGGCGGAAAATCAAGAAAAAAGACATGGTGAACTAATGCCTAATAGTATCCGTGCCGTTTTCTGCGGACCTAGTAATTGTGGAAAAACTAATTGTTTATTAACATTAATCACTCATCCTAATGGTCTTAGATTTGAAAACGTATATGTCTACTCAAAATCCCTTAATCAGCCTAAATAAACATTTTTGAAAGATTTATTAGAGCCTATTAATGATATAGAGTATCATGCTTTCAGCGATCATGAGACAGTTGTTTCACCAGATAAAACACGACCAAATTCTATTATGATTTTTGACGATATAGCCACTGAGAAGCAAGATAACGTAAGAGAATTCTTCTGTATGGGTAGACATAAAAAAGTAGATAGTTTCTATCTCTGTCAATCGTACCTCGTATTCCGAAGCATCTCATTCGAGATAATGTGAATTTACTTATTTTGTTTCGACAAGATGGTGTGAATATTAAGCACATTTACAATGATCATGTTAACTCAGATATGTCTTTTAAGAAGTTTAAAGCAATTTGTTCAAAATGTTGGAGAGACGATAATCATGGGTTTTTGGTTATCGACAGAGACAGACCAATAAATCATGGACGATATAGAAAGGGATTTGATTCTTTTGCTATAAATATAGATGAGTGAGTGGATTATTTAACTTCAGAAATTAGAAGCGTAAACATGGCTCGTGATGCCATAAGACGCAAGTATCAACTAATAAAACGTGGTAAAGCTGATTTAGAAAAGACATTGCATGAAACTTTTAAACCTATGGTTGATCCATTGAAGAAACTCGTAGAGGCAACTACTGATAAAAGTAACGCTACTATTGCTGAACAGCCAACGAAAAAGAAAAAGAAAATCGAGTTCGATAATGTTTTCAAGTCAGAAGTAGCAACTGACACTCCCTACAAATCTAGATATTTCAATAGTACTGCTAATGAATTAAATTCTACATTACAACCACTTGATACTACATTTGAGTCTGCTATTTCTATTGATGATAATGATGATGATCATAATTAATCATCACTTGATACAACTGCTATAAATTTGAACAAAAGTAGTTCAAATGTAACTACAGAACAGAGACAACGGCTATTGGATGATTCGATTATAGGAAACTATGTTCGACTATTGCATGAACCTCAGCAGAAAAGTAATTTAGACAAGACATTCGGTGTTCGCTTACATGAAAATACATATGTCATAGGCAATTCTCCAATTTCCTTCCAAAACGATAACGTGACTGTGAATGATAAAGCATACAGCAAGACGCTTGGTTTAATGGAACTTTTGTTTCGTAAAGAACCTGATTCTAAATTAATCAGTTCATTGGATATTGAAAATTATATAAAAATTCTCGAAATCACTAACGCTCATCGAAAAAGATACGAAACAAATGGAGAATATCGCAATAAGCATGTAAATAAATTCAAAAAGTATATTGGTCCAAATTTATCTTTGAGTAGTAGCGCTAAGAAGCGAAAATCGACTATTGATGGAAGAGGTCTTTTTCCTAACTATAAAATAGCTAGAAAAGGAACGTTATTTTATTATGTATATTGGAATGATCCAAACGAGCTCGTTGTACGATTGAGATTGCTTATTGCCGAACCAACCGCCGGTAATTCTAGTCATATGAATGAAATTTATTCAATTATTGAAGAATTACGTGAAGCTGACTATATATATTAAGAGAATCCTAAATATTCCTCAGTAATAAAATGAGTGTTGATGTGTTTGGACGTATATTGAATAAAAAAAAGGAGGGTAATCGAGATCCTCCTGGTATAGGGTATAATATCACTGAAGACGGACAATACGACGCGAATGACAAAAGAATTTGTTATATAGCCGATCCTCAGGAGAGTAACGATGCTGTAAACTCACGAACGTTGCGAAAAACTAGTGAAGCTAACGTCGCTACGCTTACAACTACAATAAATAATCTACAAAAAACTAGTGATGCTAACGTCGATACGCTTACGACTACAATAAATAATCTTAAAAAATCTTTAAATATAATAAGAATAGAATTACGATCGTATGGAGAAGCGATTCAATATTTACAAGCAAATAATAATGATAATAATAAGGAGAAAGAAATAAGGATTAGGCCGTCTGACTTTTCATTCATTCAATTATAACAAATAGATGACATGGCAAACTGATCTTGTAGAGATGCAAGGCTACTCGAGAGAGAACAAAGGCTTCCGATATCTATTAACTGTCATTGATATATTTTCAAAGTACGCTTGGGCAGTTCCTGTGAAACAAAAAACTGGTGTAGATGTTGCTTATGCAATGAAGTCTATGTTAAAAAAAGGACGCACTGCTAGAAATCTACATGTGGATTGTAGCAAAGAATTCTACAATTCAAATTTTCAAAGACTAATGACAAAGTATAAAATAAATCTATATTCAACCTATAGCAATCTTAAGGCAACTATTTGTGAACGTTTCGATCGCAAGCTAAAAAATGTCATGTGGAAAAAATTCAGTCTTCAAGGAAATTACAAATGGATCAACATTCTAGCTGATTTATTGAAATGTTACAATAATCGGAAACATCGTACGATAGATATGAAGCCAAAAGACGTAACTAAAGAGAATGAAATGCAGGTGTTGAGACGATTCTCCTACGACCGATGTCTTTTCGTTAAGAGCCATAAATTTCAAATAGGCGATAAAGTACGTGTGAGCAAGTCTAAATACGTTTTCGAAAAAGGATACACTCGTAACTGGTCTACTGAGATTTTTACTATTCAACGAGTTGTGAAGACAAAACCTATCACTTATCATTTAAGAGATTATAAAGGCAATCCAATTGTTGGAGGTTTTTACGAGCAAGAACTACAGAAAGCTATGTATCCTGATGTATATCTCATTGGAAAAGTTTTAAGGAAACGTGGTAATCAAGTATACGTTAAATGGTTGGGATTCGACAATTCGCACAATTCATTGATAGATAAGACTTTATACGTATGAAAGAATAAAGACGTTTATGTAAAGTAACTTTTATTCAAATAAATATCATAATAATAATAAATAATTTTTGTTTTATTTTAATGGTAAGAGCCCCAACCTTCGCTCTCACCTGTGAGGTACTTCCATTTGAGCATCATCACTTGTGAGTCCATTAGAACAAGTCGAAACCTGCTTTAGTAGAAACACCTGTGACTCATTTACCTCTCCACAATATATTTTATAATAAATTTATTGTACATACTTTATTGAAATAAAGATACATTGATGTTACATTAAATACTAAATTTAAATCTACCAGCACTATGATATTCAATCTGTAAACAATATTTTTGTACATGATCTGAAAGTAATATATAAAGATCATAATATTTCATGATGGCTCTTGAAATTCGATCTGGTAAAATTAGTTGGAATTCACAATTGAGCTCGAGAATGATTCGATTGTTATGTTCTTCCTTAAAGTTTGTTACTAAATAACAATGATTTTCTTCAAGTTCATAATGATTTTTCTCCGGTAGTGGAGCAAAGGGCTTCATAGCTATTTTATTTAACATTTCTAAGTCCATCTTGCTATCGAAGACTTGAGAATAGTGGAGAAGGAAGTGGATACTACTGGTAATGATGCTTCTAACAGAATGACGTTTTCCGAGCTCTCTTAAGACCTTTACCCCACCTACACTTTTTCTAGCCGGCACGGCCGCCTCCCTCCACTTGCTACTTCTTCCACCTCCACTTAGATTTTTAGTTTGTTAAGTGTATATACTATACAATGATTTTTTAGTATAGGTTCAAGAATATGATTCATCATTATAATACGTTTTTTAAATAGTGCTCGCGATATTATACTACTTAGTTGCATAATACCATGTTGGAAGCGTTCTCGATCTCGTGCAAGCTGCTCCCACACTCCTTTCCTCGAGTCTTTGTCTTCAATAGGAAGATGATGAATTTGAATATTATCCGAGAACCATACATACTTCGAAGCGCGAATGCTCTTCTTGTTTCTTCTAATAGGCGCCATGATGGATCACAAGAGGATAGTCTTGCTATAGCTATTTCTTCTCACTGAATGATGGTAAAGCAAACTATGCATCCTTCTTATAAATATATTAGGACTCAAATGACTGCCCTCTATCGGAATTTAAGGTTAATTATAGGAATAGTGAGAGCCTCAACCTTCGCTTTCTCCTGTGAGGTACTTCCTTTCGAATCAACGCTCATGAGTCACCTTTACATTGAGATAAAATTCAATGGAAAGTGCTTTTATGTTTAAAATCGAAGTTTGAACCGACAATATGGTAAATAAATAACTCATCCTTCTTACTAGTCTGATGTAGGTTGTTCAACATTTCTTCATCTTTTTCGAGTACTATGTTAACCCTTTTAGGCAGGAACACATCAAATTCGTCATCAATTGTAATAACAACGCTAAATCCATATTTCGTTGTTAATGATCTAACTTTAGTAACTTGATATAATGTGTTCGATGTTAGTTGGGACATCGCCTTCTGAGGAAGGAAAGTCGTCTTGGAAATTTTATTTATTGCTGAGAAATCCATTCTGTAAAATAAAAAATCAAAGAATTAATTATTTATTTATTTATTACTAAAATTATTTAAATATCCTACTTGTTTCAATAGTTAGTGGAAGATGTATTAGAGGTAAGACTGTTGCTTGAGTGAGAGCTGAGCAACTATTTCGAACTAAAGTGAACTCTTAGTTTTATATGTGGCATCCCCATTCTTAAAGCTCAAGCCGCCGTCGCCGTTTCCCTCTCTTTCAGTCTCCCCTCTCTCATGATTCTTCATTGTAACGGTTCTATTTATGAGCTATTTATTAAATCACTGAATGACTGCAACTAGTCTAACGTATCTATCTGTTTATTCAAAACAATACATTAAGCGGCGCTACCTCACTGTTTACTCAATTGTATTCATATAAGAGTCAAATCAAAATAAACAGCGTGACGTCACAAAGTAATAGACATAGATATAATGATTTAGGATATTAAGAAAAATATGTTAATTATAGATAATTTTAATATAACAAAGTATTGATTATATAGATTTTAGCATGTAGATTCATAATATTATAACAAAATTCACATTCAATTATGAAATAATAATGAATATCAATATGCAAAGTTGATTTATTTATTACGTTAACATATGACATATTAGAAAAATGTAAATAAGTCATATGCAAAGTGAATAAACATAGAACATGAGTAAGAATTAGTTTCATTAATAAGAGCTGTATATTAACTGTTATTAGTAAATAAACAATTAATAATTTATTTAAACAATAAGCTATTTATAGAACGAAAATATTAAGTTTATACTTGATAATGATAACTTAATGATTTAGAAATCTTATATAATTAATCCAATAATTGCATATTAAGATTAGAAAAAACCATTACAAATATGAAAAATTAGTCATAATTCAAATGTTATTAATTAATTTAAATAATTAATTTTGGAGAATACTTCCAAAATTAATTAACTATAAAGTTATATGAAAATTTAATAATTTTCTATTGTAAATATTGTAATATCACGGTAATTAACTTTATTAGTTAATAACTTTTAACGACACTATTGGCGATAATTGTATATTGTATAAAATCAACAAATAACAAATTCTGTAAAGTTTACATGTGATGAAAACTTAATATTAATGGTTATTTACTTGTAAATTAAGAAAACTCATTTCTCAAAATTCGCGAATGTCTCTCGAATTTTCGATGAAATCTCTCCTGCAAAAATAAGCGGGAAAATCTGTGTATAAATAGGCCCACCTTTGCACAGGCTAGCATTCACTTTTAGCCTTGCAAGGTGAGCGCATGAGTCTGAATAAACTTGGATTAATACCTAAGTTCTTTCTCTCATTGTGATTAACTAAGCAAGACTATCCTTTCCTTATAATTTGAGCTCGACTTTGCAACAGGCTGCCGTTTAACCGTTAACCTATTAAACCTACTCATTATTTCGGTCAAACGACGCCTTGTTATTTAGGTGCCGTAAGCACGTTAACCTACCTTGTCCGGGAGTGCGCCTGCGCAGAGTTCCCTCGCCAAGCGGAGTTGGGTTCGCGAGCTCGCCACTTGGCGGCGCTGTCACGCTTGCTTAGCAGCGCTCCGTCGGCCGCTGCTGGAAACTCAGGTTGCAGATCGCTTCTCTCGATGTCTACGCGATCCGTGCCTTTTTACCGGCTTATTCGAACCGAACGTAAATAATAATAAGCACCCCGGACAAAGAAAAGACAAAGCAATAACTCGGTTACGAATAGCTGTTGAACGCTTTATTGAATCCAATCAATTACACGGGGGATTTGCTGAGAGACTCACGCACGCAAATACGATTGACAATGCAAACGAGTAGAGAGAGAGAGAAAATCGCGATAGTCGCGGACTATACGCTCACACGCTTTAAACAATTTCACCGCGCACGCTGCGTGGGATCGCCTACAAACAACAATAGATAATTTTGAGCACCTACCGCGGATCAGATGGGGATACGGTGGCCAACCGTATCCGGCGCACTAGCTGTTGTTCGGATGCTTCGATGCTCGCCGCTCTGCTGCCGTAACTCCGCACTCTGTCCTTGTGCTGTTGTCGAGGTCACTCTCGTAGCTGCCGAGATCGCGCCCGTCGAACAGTGCTCGCACCCGGAACTCCACTCGCCACTGGTATCGCAGGTGATGGAGCCGCGCACGATGAACAGTGCGCGAACTCGTTCTACCGCACTGTCTATCGTCACTTGTCGCCTCTACACACGCCTCGCAATGTATACACCCACTGCAGCACTCTCCAACAATATACCCTGGCTTCCTGATCTCACTCACAGTTATCCAAATGCGTTGGCAGCACAAAAACAATAGCTACGACCTAGCCGGACTGAGTGACACAGTCATACTGATTGTCGAACTCTCCCCTCCCGGTCATTAGCCCTACGCGCACTCTCTCTCTCAAACCGATCGCGGCTGCTACGCTCAGCCGCTTCTTAACCTACGCGAGTCGAAACGATTTTCGGTAATCGTTGCAACTTATAGAACATCTCGCGCTATAAGAGACTTGGGCCGAATTATATCCTATCAAAGAAAGACTTTAGCTCTACTTATGGGTCAATTCGCACAATAAGAAACTAGGGCATTGTCTGACTTTCCTCGAAATATTGCACCTACTTATGTATATTTGATTTACTTATTTATTACATTTGATTTATTTATCTATTTTCTTGACAATTAGAGTAAAATCATTCGAAACAAATTCTTACTTATTAGCTAGATTACGAGAGTTCGAATTATTTTATTTATAAGTGATACGAACATCACATTTACCGTCCTGTCACGGTCGCCAAATGCGCCAACGAGCTCAAATTATAAGGCTATAAGTGAAGTGAATGCTAGCCTGTGCAAAGGTGGGCCTATTTATACATAGATTTTCTCGCTTATTTTTGCAGGAGAGATTTCATCGAAAATTCGAGATACATTCGTGAATTTTGAGAAATGATTTTTCCTAATTTACAAGTAAATAACCATTAATCTTAAGTTTTTCACACATGTAAACTTTACAGAATTAGTTATTTGTTGATTTTATACAATATGTAATTATCGCCAATAGTGTCGTCAAAAGTTATTAACCAATAAAGTTAATTAACGTGATATTACATTATTTACAATAGAAAATTATTAAAATTTCATATAACTTTATAGTTGATTAATTTTGGAAGTATTTTCCAAAATTAATTATTTAAATTAATTAATAATATTTGAATTATGACTAATTTTTCATATTTGTAACGGTTTTTTCTAATCTTAATATGCGATTATTAGATTAATTATCTAAGATTTCTAAATCATAAAGTTATCATTATCAAGTATTAACTTAATATTTTCGTTCTATATATAGCTTATAGTTTAAATAAATTATTAATTGTTTATTTATTAATAACAGTTGTCATTCAGCTGTTATTAATGAAACCAATTCTTACTCATGTTCTATACTTATTCATTTTGCATATAAATTATTTATATTTTTCTAATATTTCATATGTTAATAAATAAATCAACTTTGCATATTGATATTCGTTATTAATTTATAATTGAATGAGATTTTTGTTATAATATTATTAATCTACATGCTAAAATCTATATAATCGATACTTTGTTATATTAAAATTATCTATAATTAACATATTTTTCTTAATATCATGAATCATTATATCTATGTCTATTATTTTGTAACGTCACGCTGTTTATTTTGATTCGACTTTTATTTGTATACAGTCGCGTAAACAGTGAGGTAGCGCCGCTTAATGTATTGTTTTGACTAAACAGATAGATACGTTAGACTAGTTGCAGTCATTCAGTGATTTAATAAATAGCTCATAAATAGGACCGTTACATCATCTAAAACCATTCTCCCACTCTGTAGACTCAGATATCCATTGTTTCTCCCTCTCCATTACTAGTCATCAGCGCCATTTAGTAATTATCGAAGGAGTAGAATTCTTTCGCTAGTGCTGCCCTCTAGAATTATTTTCTTCAAATCTGAATCTTTTCATATTACTATTTTTTTCTATCACTTCGTCTTCTTCTCTACACCTCTTTCTTCGTAGCTATTCAACTCTTTCTTTCATTTCAGTAATTACGAGAGTTTTATAATGCCCCCATGGAAGTGTGTCCGGATTATTATCAAAAATACATCGTTTATCATCATGAGGGCTTTAGTGCTGTCTTTTCCTCTCTCTCTGTTATTACTTGATATAATTTAGATCGAATATTACATTGGGTACATTTAATAATTTCCATATCGTTTAAACACTTTCGATAATCTGAGTGAGTTATTGTATTTTTTACTGTATGTTTTTTCACTCCTTTTGCCTTTTTCAAGGGATCCTTATTTATTATTTCAATACTGTATAGTTTACTTCGTAACCCAATGTACTCCCTCATAATAGCAGCATTGCACTCATCCTTCATAACACCAAGAACTTTTTTGTTAGCTAGAGGCACTCCAAATTGATTATCAGCAGGATAGTCCGATGTGTCAAATTTATCAATGTCTACTTTCATGATCTCATACATATCGACATCTTGAATTTCATAAATGAGGCTGTCAGTATCAGTATAAAGTAATTTACATTTTTCACCAATTCGTTGCTTCATGTAACCATAATGAAAGTCATAGACTAATGTTTTTGAAAGATCTAATACACATAGACCGATGTAGATAGGTTTTTTAATACTGATAGTTGTCCACGATAATTGAATAGCAGCTAAATTTTCATGAAAGATGGAACTACTATGGAAATTTGGTTGGGTAATTCGAGCTTCAGCGCCATATCTACCACCCCATTGATTGATTAGTTTGATATCTTTTCGTTTTCTTTCGTCTTCCATTGTTTTTCCATATACTGCATTAATCATAAGCTTGTAAAATAATTTTTTAAACTCATTTTTAGCTTGCTTTCTTTTTTCAGTATTTAAATCAACATATGGTTTCAGCCATTATTTTTGTTTGAATTCTAGCGCTCTATATATCTTTTTGAGTTTTAGTCCATATTTGAGAGCTTGTTTTAACTCTCTATAATGAATAACGTATCGTTCTTTATCATAAAGCGTTGTCAAAAGTTTTTTCTGTTTTGATCCGGGTGGT